CTGCAGCATGGAAATACTGCAGCTGGTGCCCCACTCAATGGGGAGGAGCACCCTGGAAGGCAGTTTGTGTACAAGACATTGTGCAAGGTGAAACTGCATCTTCTGAGCAAGCGAACAGGGAGCACAGGTTGTTGCAGCAGTGTACAATAGCTAGGACTGCTCATGTCCTTGAGTACCTGAGTCGCGTGACCAAGGCAGTGAAAAAATTATAATCTAATGCAGCCATGAGTATTCTGTTTGGAGCATCCTCCATATGTTAATTATTAATAATACATTTATGAGAAAAGTTCCTGTTCCAGCTCTCCATTAAATAGGATTTAAACAGCCATCTGGTGTTCTGTTTAACTCTTATTAATTTTTTTTTAAACCCAATTTGTGTGTCTTACTGTTAATTAATTTAAAACTCGTGAAAGAGAGAGGTGCTCTGGCTTTGTGATAAATATGAACTGAGCTGCTGAGAAAATAGAGATGGGCACTCAACATTTGCATTTAAAAGAATACAGCAACAATGAGTCTGACTTTGGGGAAGAAGAGAATGAATGTCACCTCCTACAGAGAAACAACAGCTTTAGACAGAAAGGTAAATGTCAACATGGAAGCCCCCTGCCATTATTAAAGGATGACAAGAAAGGAGCGTAGCAACATGGACAAAAATGAGAACAGAAAGCACAGAGTGCTCTGTAAAGCTGATGTACACTAGTAAAATGGTTTTGTTGGGCTCCATCCATAAACCATGTTTCTACACTATTGGTGGTCTAAGGGAAGAGTCCAAGAGAGTGCTATCCCAGCTTCTATAGCTATACTTCTCACTAGCAAAAATCACACCCTGGCTTAATTAGAAATTAATTCACACACAAGGGAAACTTGACTCACCTTTATATTTCCAGTACCTGACTGGAATTCTTCAATTGTTTCAATAAAAGAAAAAACAAAATCAAAAAAACAAACAAACAACACTTTTGTGCAATTTCCAATCAAGAACATGAAGTTAACTCTCACTTAGATCTTATGAGCCTATTGCTAACCAGCTATGGAGATGGGGAATGGCCCGGTGCTTCAGTGCAGATGAACTTTTAAGGTATCAAAATTCTGCTGGAATTCACTTAGTTTGGGGCTAATCTGGTTCTTGTAGAGCCCACATGAAAAAGTGTAGAAGAGAAACTGGCTTGGTTGTTGAGAGTAATTTTATTTTCTTTATTGGAACCAGAACTCAAATTTAGCATCTCAAACTTTTGGTTATAATCCATCTGAAACAGCCAATCTAAATAATTACTGTTTCACCTTAATGCTACTTTTTAATTTTGCCATTTCCATGAGCAGCTGCTGGACTCCTCCACCAGGTTTGCTCTCATGCAGCGTAGGAGAGGGCTGGGAGCCATGGCAGCCCAAAGGACTCATGTGCACAGCAGCAACAACACAAAGCGCTCTGCTGCTTGTCCAGCACCCAGCCTTTCTCCTCCCTTTGCCAGCAGCCCTGCACAGCTGGAGGAGAAAGAAATCTGTCCTTGACTGGGGTATGCACATGCAAAGCATAATTAAATAATTATGCTTTGGGGTGACAACAGTAAATTTGCAACAGTTCCAGAACATGGGCTAAAAGTCCATTTCTTGAAAAGCATCCAGAATTTAATACATGCCCAAATGTTTGCAAATTGTTTACCTCACTCCTGACAAACTGTTCTGATTGTAATAATTTTCAAGGAATCATGACTCATTAAGATACCTAATTTGAAGGGAGCAATAACTCTGAAAAACTTGAACAGAGGACATTTGAGCGCAGTTTTCCAAGAATCCTGGGGTACAAAATGATTTAGTTCTTTCAGGTATAGAATTAGAGTAATATGGTTTTTAAGGACGGCTTTTAAACTATTGTAGTTTTGGCTTTTTCCTTGCTGTGAAATATGTACAAGCAGAGCCTCTTAATTCTTCAGTGACCTTCAATATAAAGTATTTCAATTACGTTACAGAGTTAAACTTGCTTTCTAGCCAGTGTGCCATATATGCTAGGAGGTTGTTTGTCAGAAAAAAAAAAAAAAGGAGAGACGGACAGAGCTCCAATGTCTGGAGCTTCTGATGCTTTCTTGAATGAGTTGAGTGTTGAAGTTTCCAGCTGCAGGTTTACAAGATGGAGGAGGTAAGGAGGCTTCTGTCCTCCTTTTAGCATTCAAGATATTTCCTGCACCATCAGGGTGTGATGGCTAAGCAGCTCTGACCTCCTATTCAGTTCAAAGCCATAAGAAAATGTGAAATAAGAAGCTAGTGGTAGAGATAAATTAAAAAAAATAATAAAATATTTCTTAAAATTTCATTTGAAAATGCAAATATTTAATCCAGAGATTAACTTAATAATAAACCCCACCACATAACATTGAACAACATTTATTTTTTTTTTTCCTCAATCAGACTTCTCTGGGGCTGTTTCTGGGTGAGTTGCAGACAGCCCTGTCTCAGCACCCAGACTTGGCCAGGGCAGGCAGTGCTGTCAGACAAGTTGATGAGGTCTGGGGGTCTGCGTGCTGTAGGTGGAAGTCACCCAGAGCACCTCTGTCTGCATTTCACACTTGGAGGGCCAGATGATGCCTGTGAGTCATTGCATTAGCTTAGGAAATGTGACTTGAAATTTACAGCATCAGTCCAAGAATTTAGTAAATTTGTATTATAATTCACTCTCCATCTTACCCTTCTCTATTATATGATTTTTCATAAAATGAAATAGATTTTACAGCACAGGTTTTGTATACTTAAGCCTAAATGCCTCTCCGATGGTTACAAAATTTGTATCTGAATTCTATTGCCTCTTCAGGAAATCATTTCTGTGTTATCATAACACAATTTCTTTGTTCAGCAAGTATGTGTAATAAATATCAGTCTATTATCATAAGTCACTGCCAATAACCAAAGCCATTTATCTGAATATTCATCTGTATCGCTGCCTCCCACAAATGAAACTATCTTATTTTCGAGTTAGCAGTTAAATGCTCATCTTACACAGACATATACTGCCTGCTGAAATGACTATTCTGAAAAATGCTAAGCTGAGAGTCACCATGAGATTGACTAATGCTCATGTTTATGTTTTGTAATTAGTTTAACAGTTATTATCTGTGAACAACAAGTTTCTGATCCAGAAAGGATAATCAGCTTTCCTGGGCATGGGAAGTTATTTATATATAAAGAGACCAACTGCATATGACCTACCACAGATGCTTTAGATTAGTGGCCATGCGTTAAGAAATGATACACTACTATAAAATGCAAGAAATGGAGGAAATGTTCCTTTGAAACAGGCTCTTAGGACAAATGTGCTCAAAGCAGCACTGTAGAATTCAACCCTGGCTAACGATCTTGGTGTCTAAAGTATGACACAAATATTTAGAAGAATAAACAAGGAAAATGGCATAGAAAACTTCATACATTGAAAGGGCTTGATGTTCTGACCAGCTTTGTGGTAACTGTCGGACCGTGGGTAACTGGGGGCTGCTCCTTGATGATGTGCTGTGAGTGTCTTTTAGGCGAGTTCATGAGCATCAGAACAAGTTTGGTCCCCTGTCACCAAAGCAACAGCTTTAATAGCTGAATTTGACCCAGCTTGTTGAAAAGCATCTTACTAAGCACAGCCTGAGATGTTATGCTCAGTTTTAGTGATGGAACGATGCAGACAGACAACACCCTAAGAGGAAATATCTCACTCCTTACCATGAGCTCCTGCGTGAAAGCAATTCATTTGAAATAAGTTTTAAGATTCTCTAACTAATGGCTTTCATAATAGGAAAAGACCTTCTCCGGCCAGCACAGTAACAAAGTCAAGAGGAAAACTGGAGCAGGTGATGGGTTTGCAAGGGGAAGAGAGAGCAGATGTTAGCACACAAATTTGGAACACTCTTCCAGATCTGTTGCAGGAGCCCAGTTCCCATCAATGCATGTTGAAGAAGCAATTAATTGGGACCATGCAGACCCAGGATTTGCCAGAATCAAATTTTCCACTCACAGAACATAATTCCATAAAATTATTATTATTTTTTTTATAAAACTTCTAGAAGTCTTTTTTTTTTTTCCAAAAAATTTACAATATATATGTCCCTTCTATTTACTAGATTTGATGGAAATCTGCACACTTAGAATATGGATGGGAGTTTTAGGGGAGTGGAAGTTGTGAAACTATCACTTTTAAGCAATCTTTATCTGCTTTAATAAGTTTCCAAAAAATAAAGAATATGAGTTCATCAGATTATTTTTTTTTAAGGTTTTAATCCAACTCTGATCAAAAATCCTCAAGTTATATATACATATATATTTAATTCAAATTCCACTTTCCTGTGGACTGCTATAAAGGGTCTTGACTGTGAAGAAATTGGTACTTTTTGTATATGTTAGTTCAGTAACATTACAGAAAAGGGAACATTTTTGATGGTTGCAAGTGCTTTTGGAGAGTAACTAACCGGAGCTGCGGATCAAAGCAAAGTGATCAGGGAGCATTTGAGAGAAGACTGAGGCAACCAGAGACTTGGTCTGCTAACTTCAATCAGGCTATAAAGTCATCCCCAGTCTAAACAGAGATCTAGTTTGAAGGAAAGACAGATAGTCTGGGACCAGTGAGCAGCTGATTTATATCCTTCACTTTTATAATTTTAGGCTAAAGCTGCCACAGCATCTGGTAGGTTCAACGCTCATCTCCCTTAAGTTGCAGTGAAGGAAGGAATACCCTCACAGTCTGCTACAGCAACACACCCTGATCCCTGCTGAAGACTTCTCAGACCTCATCTATATATCCATGTCTATCACATTAACAGAAATGTTGCACCTTCTATAACATGTCCTTTGCAAATATCCCTCTGCACATAAAAGTATGTGAGCAAATCATGCCATAAAATGCTAAAACCTGAGGGACAGTTCTGGTTCCACTGAAATCCAGCTTTCACTTATTATTTTCCAGGTGACTTCAAAGAATCATAATTTAAATGTGAATACGTATCTAGCAGACAATCAAATACATAGCTTACCTTTTTGACCTCGTATTTAATAGCCAGTTTAATTCTGCTCAGACTTGGTCGATGGTGATCAGGGCACAGATGTATGTTCACATCTCCATTCAGGATTGCTTCTACTTCTTCAGTGTCTCTGCAGAGGTCCAGCACCCCCACTACGAAGTCCTTGCATTGCATAGATAGCTTCCTATAGTCATTCTAAGGCAAAAGAGAGAAACACAAGATATTCAGCTGTGCACTTAAGAGTATGCCTCAAACAAACCAACAGAAAAAGCCAGAGCAAGCAACAGTGAGAAGGGTTACTTTTGCAAAACCTGCTGGCTGGAATAGTAAGAAAGCACTTGATTTCAGCCAACATACAGCTAACCTTTTGGAAATATATATATGAAATATATATATGAAATCCTTCCACAATTAATCAGCAATGGTCTTATCAGCAGCATATTTTGCATTACCAAAAAAAAAAAACCCTCTGTGTAATAAATAATAAATTAACACAAATAAATAAAAATAAACAAATAATGTAAAAAGGAATTTTTATTTTAATCAATCATACAACCTCTTCTTTTTACATGACTATCTTCTAGAAATATCACAAGGTCTTCCTACTGGGTTTGAATTTATATCAAATTTTACTATTTAGATCCTTTACTAATAATTTTCTTTAATAACTTTTGAGAAACAGATTGCTACATCTAACTGCAGCATCACACCCAGATGTGTTCAAATAAATGATATGGTTGTAACATCAATTTCAGTTTCAAATGTATTACCTAACAATTTGACAAAACTGTCCCAGAAGAGTATCCAGAGGGTAATTTCTGTCATAACTCTTCTCCAGGAAATAGGACCTCAGAAACTCAACATGATTTCCTATGAAATAATTTCACCTTGCAAACCCAAATTACACTTGTGGGAAAAGAGATGGTACGTAGCTGACTTGATAGCTGACTGGAAGAGTAATTTTACTGCCTTAAATTGTGATTGATTTTCACATGCTGACACTTAAAAATGAGGAAAATGCCACCATCTGAGTAAATGCAGTAAATTAGAACACAATTAAGGCTACCATTAATATCCTGACAAAATGGTGATATTAAAGACTCAATGCAACAAATAGAAATAATAAGCATAAGACAAGCTCTTACTGACTTGAGAGATCTTTTCAAATTAGGTTTGATGAGTTAATTAAATTCAGCAGCTTATCTAATTAAGCAAACAGCCAAAAGAGAGGATAGTTAAACCTGACTTTGATGAAATGATAAGAGTAACCTGGCTTTGTACTCTTATATTTTCTAAATTATTAATTCTTACATTTACACATAGCAACATGTTGGCCTTCCTTGTTGGGCAAAGATCTCAAAGCACTGTGCAAATATTAGTTGGGCAGCACAGCAGTGGCTAGAAGATGGTGTTATGCTTAGAGGTGACTAAATGTCTTTGAATGTATTTTTTTGTTGCTGTTGTTGTTCTTTAGAATTGAGATGTTCTTGGTAATAAATGCTTTCTTAACAAAGTTGGTTTGATTATTTTTTTATGGCTTTTATTTTTTCCCAGGTCACAATATGATGTTGTTACACTACCTTTTTAAATGCATGAGTGTTTATTTGTACAGCAGCCACTTTGAGGGGTCTTCAGACTAGGGAAATCACCAGCATCAAGTTTACTTCCCAGTTTCATGCACAAGGATTTGCCAACAAAACTTGGATTCACATTAGCCCATTAAGGAAGTGATGGAGGAAACAGGGTTCCTGTTCCAGGGTTCCCCAGCCCTGGCCTCCTTTTGAGAACAGGAATTCTGTCCCAAGGCAGCTCTCTTGCAGCATGGAAGAGCTGTTTCACCCAATACAAACAAATTCAGGTAGTTACAGGTAGCACAAAAGTGCTTCAGAGATGGGAGCATTCTTGCAGAAATGGGAAGCTGCCAGTTCTGATAGGTGTTTGGGAGAATGGGCTGGTGAGAGGAGCTGGACAATAGCCTGTATTTTTGTGGTGACATCTTGTGTGAGGGGAAATGTGTTTACATCCTATCTGCCCAAAATTTTGAAATCTGGAAAAGGTTTCCCCTTTCCTCCTTCATTTAAAGGGGATCTAATATAATCACAAGCACATTTTTTTTCTCTGCTAGGGCAGAGGTTACCATAGAGGTAACCTTGACATCAAGACATCTATCGAAAGGCCAGATTAGGACAGTAAGATTTAAGGTGTCTTCAAGGTCAGGCAGAAAATGATTGTACATTTACATCTAAATCTAATACCTAAGTATTATGTGGAGATAGGGTTTGTAGAGTGAATGTTATCAAATACAGTGTGAATTAGAGTCTGAAATGTAAATGAAAGACAGATTGCACTGTGTGGATTCAAAGCACTCCTCTCTAATCATTTCTGTGCTTTAATCTTCACCCTGCCAAGATATGTTTCAGTACGTAGAAAACTTGCCTGTTCACTGAGAGAATAGATGACCAAACACTTTGGCACGGAAATAACTGCAGGAATCATGAAAAGCAACAAATATAGATAGATCTAAAAATAGATGTAGGCTGGAAATGAAATGTGTAACTGCCCCAGGTAATGCAGACACTTAATTAGCCCAGCAGATTGAAAAGAAACAGGGTGAAAACTTTGCTAAGCTGTAATAATATTCCCTATTTATACACTGTTTAGAAAGTTCAGAAGCTTATCTCTTAGCCAGCACATTTTAGGTAATTCTCATCACCATTTCCACATCATCTGAACAACTAGTATGCATTAGCTCTGATTAATTTTCCTTTTCTGCTTTTTTTAAGGAAATTAGTTAGTAAGCAACCAGGAAAGTGCAGATATAAATGGCATACTCCCAGCTGGCAAACTCCATCAAGGATCACTGCAAGTGGTGTGACTTCTGACTAGATCTCTTATACAAATTTTTTTTTTTTTTTTTTTTCTGGCTTCCTTGATGCTCACTGTCAGCATAGAAATCTTACTCCATTTGATGATGAGAACACAGCACTCAGTGATTCTCCTGAGGTCAGTGTCTTTCCCTTTGCAAGCAGTTTGTTGGCTGTATCTTTAGTAAAAACTGAGATTAGAAGGACACTGCCAGGCAAACATCTCCTGACCCAGGCTTGCACAGAAAGCTTTGATGACGCAAGCAGAAATGCCCTACCTGTGTATAAAATACTGAGTTATGAGTCACAGGAAAGGGTAAAATCTGACAGAAAACTAGATTTACAAGTGTATGCACATGGTATCCGTGTATATGCCAGTGCTGCATCAACTGCCTGCAGTTCACACATTTGGGGGCATCTGAGATACTGCACAAGGAGTGCTGAGATGAGCTTTTGAGAAGGATGAAAGTCCCCAGCCCCAGGCATGGCTTTGTGAGGGGTGGCAGAGCCAAGAGGAAACCCAGCTCAGTTCTCAGAGCAGCAATGCAAAAGACAGGTTTTGTACCCAGGCAGTGACTATAACCCAACGCTTCCTGAGTATTCTGATTAACCACCACATTAGAAAAGTCTGAAAAGTAGGAGTTTCATAAAGCAGACTAATCTTTACAGTAATGAAAACCACAAATCATATATGAGGGATGCTGGGGCCTCATCCTCACAGCCTGAGTGCTGGCAAGCCTCAGGGAGGGAGATGAAGGATGCAACCAAGGGCACAAGAGTGCCAATCTGCTTCAGATAACACAGTATTTTATTTCCTATAGAGACAGTGATCAGAGAAAAATCTGGATAACACTTGGGAATGTTACAATATAATTTTTTAAAACTAGAACATAATAAAAAAAAAATCCAAATCAGTCATTTCCTGCTCCTCCTGACACTGTTGTTCATGTGGAGTTAAAAATGTCTGATTTTGCTGTTTTGAAAAGGCTAATGGTACTTGTCATTCACTGCAATTTCTCTGAGTACCGTATTATTATCTGTTGATTATGTTCTAAATGAAGTCTGTCATATCTCTACATCTGTTCAAAACCACCCATACTTCTACAGAAAAGGGCTGTTTCAGGTCAGAGGGATACAGTCTGAGTAAAAAAGTTAAGTGAAATGGCAAAAGTAAGACCAGTCACCTGTCTTGGTTAGTTAATGAAAAAATAACTATTTCAAAAGCAATCCTCATCAAAGATTGAAGAGGAACGTCCTCATCCAGAGGAGCCTACCTCTGAAATGCCAGCACTGCAAGTGCTTTTTGGATGGCAAGTTGAGAAATTTGGTGTCAATGCTGTGACGTGCAGCAAGCAGGTCTGAGATTTGCTGAACCCATCAGTGCAGATGAGAAACTGAAGTGGTGCCAATGGTTCAGAAACAAAGAGGATCAAACAACTTTGTATACAATTATGAAAATCCCCCATGTCCCTCAAATTGCTTTCAAGCCTTCTACCTTCCCAGTCCCAGCTTCAAGAGCACACTTTAGGCTCTAGTTCTATGAATGCTTTCAAGCAATGTGCTTGAAACTGTCTTTTTTGTCAATCAGCTTTTTTTTTTTTTAAATTATTATGTTTATTTTTTTTGGTGGTAATTGTTGTAGACTACTCAGTACACAGTTGCTGCTGTAAATGGGCCACAGAGCCACAGGATAGTGCACAATACATGAGTAAAATACAGCCTGCACCATTCATGAAAATCAGTCCATACATTACCATTTAGGGCATTTCATTAAATTCACTCTAATTTCTTCCAAATAGCATGTATAAAAAGCAGGGCAGGCACCACAACCACTAATTGTTCTGTTAGCCTCTGCTAAATCTACAAGGTCAGGTCAAGAAAGATAATATCAGAGAAGAGTACCCATTTGAATATACAACAATGTATCTGGCTCAGGATGATTTCACCTACACCCTTTTTTCTATTAAAAAATACAGCCTAATGTTGCTTATCAATACACATTTCATGTCCAAACAAAAGTCAGCAAATAAAAAGGGGAGCAGAGAGGATGGTTGGTCTATATACTATATATATATATATACATATATATGTATATATATATATATATAATGTATATATATACATATATATATATAATATATATATATATATGTATATATAATGTCCATCATATATTGCCTGTCTTATAAACCCAGCTTTCTGGAATATGAGGGTTTCCACACAAATCCAGGATGTCTACAACTCATGACCATGCACGTCCAGCACCTGTGACTGGGGCTGTCATGGCACCAGAAAACCTCTGTGTGCTCTCAGTGTATTCATAGGTTAACT